GGTTGGAATTTTTACTATGACAGGTAAAAATAAAATTGTTGAATACTATGGATCTTTGTTATCTTATTTTAATAGCTACGTGGGTGGGTGGTGCATATATTAATGGTACAGCTGAAATGGTATTTTCCGATGGTCTGTTATCGACTCAAGCTCCACTCGGTTATGCAATTAGTCTAATGTGTGGTGGTATTCTATTTGCTCGTCGAATGAGAGCGGCAGGCTACGTAACAATGTTAGATCCATTCCAGCGTAAATATGGAGAAAGAATGGGTGGTCTCTTGTTTCTACCCGCATTGATGGGCGAAGTTTTTTGGTCTGCGGCGATACTCTCAGCTCTGGGTGCCACAATTAGTGTTATTTTCACAGATGTCTCACAGACAGCGTCTGTTCTGATATCAGCTGGTGTTGTCATATTCTATACACTATTTGGCGGTTTATATTCAGTAGCATATACCGATGTTGTACAATTGTTCTTCATCTTTGTGGGATTGGTAAGTACTCAAAACAAGAGTTAATCAGGAAGGAAACGTTGTTTACTTATTCTATTTAGTGGTTAGCGATACCATTTGCAATAAAACATAAGAGTGTTGGGAATATTCTTACAACGTGGCCTCAATGGCATGGTGGAATTGTTAAACATACCGAAGTTCGATGGATAGATGATTTACTGTTGCTCATTTTTGGTGGAATACCCTGGCAGGTAAATGCTTTTGTGATTTTTTAAGTATAGAAGATTTTTAATACTAATCATATAACTTTCTAGGTCTATTTTCAACGTGTATTATCCGCTAAAAGTGCTAGTAAAGCAATGTATTTATCATTTTTTGCCGCTGTTGGATGTATTTTATTGGCGATACCGCCTGTTATTATTGGAGCAATAGCAAAATCAACAAGTAAGAGGAGTTAATACAATCAATATGTTAATTCTATCTTTGATTTCAATTATTTCAGATTGGAATGAAACAGACTTCGATTTGAACAAAGATATAACCTCAGCGGAATCGAAAAAGTTGATATTGCCATTAGTTTTACAACATTTGTGTCCGAAACCGATAGCATTTATCGGATTAGGTGCAGTATCTGCAGCAGTCATGTCTTCCGCAGATTCAAGTGTTCTAAGTGCAAGTTCAATGTTTGCAAGAAATGTTTGGAAATTAGTTTTCAGAAATCAGGTTAATAATTTAAATTATTGCATTTTACTCATCAGTACTTATACCTTTTGTTTAGGCAAGTGAACGTGAAGTATTGTGGGTTATGCGAATTGGTATCTTCATTGTGGGTGGTGCAGCAGCTGGGATTGGGATATCGGTACCATCAATCTACTTATTATGGATATTATGTTCGGATCTGGTATATGTCATCTTATTTCCTCAATTATTATGTGTTGTCTATGTCCAGTTTACCAATACGTACGGATCACTGATTTCCTACATCATCGGTCTCACTTTTCGAATTCTAATCGGTGAACCAGAAATGGGTGTTCCGCAAGTGATTCGATTTCCGTGGTACATACCACCACGTACTATGTGCATGTTAATTAGTCTCTTTACAATCATAGTGGTATCCTACATAACAAAATTATTGTTTGAAAATCAAATATTAGCACCAAGATTTGATATATTACGATGTTTAACAAATATTCCGGTAGAAATAATCCCATTGAAAGAAAGTACAACTGCAGATGAATTTTCAAAATTAAATATATCAAAGAATACAAGTTATAACGATCAAATAACAACAGATTCAATACAATTAGCACCATCCTTTATTGCATTAGATCATGGGCATAACAATCCGGTTGATACGTCATACGGAGCAATACATTGATATATATCTTATTCTATAACATTTACTTAGAGTAAGTTCCATCTGTTTGACAGTACTGTACTCTTTTCTTTCATTTGCACTCCTAAAATTTCAGTTTCTCTCATTCAGCGCAGTATTCATTTCCATAAGTGACAGGGATAAAACATTTGTATCTATGAAAAATCGGTTCATTCTTTTCCTAATTCTGTATATGTTCAATTATTTTTCCTTATTGTCTAATGCACCAATGATAAGTAGAAGAAGCTGTTATCTCCCATCTAACTTAACATTTTATCCAAGACACATGCCCAATGAGTATGAGTACCACATTTCTATTTAATAATATACCCATTGTACTTATTCATCTCATTGTAAAAAAAAAATAACTCTTGAAAAGTATCTTAAGAAAATTAGCGTCTTAAATTAGTATCATTCTATGGCTCTCTTTAAAAAAATCTCTTTTAAATGTGTCTCATTGGATTGGATTTACGTAATTCATCTCATTATACCATTAGCTAATGAGTTATTACTTAAAAGAAGTTCAGGTTGTGATTACAATCATCGTTTTTGTTTTGCGTGCTGCATAGTCATACATAAAACAGTATATTATGCATTAAAAACTACTTCTTTCCTGTTTTCTTCAAATTTATAACATGCGATTAAATGTCCATGTGCATGTGAAGTGTATCAAAGTAGATACATTAATCTATATCTTAACACCTGATTATTGGCTTTCATTCAAAAGCCAAGAAATAAAACACTTTTTAAAAATACTTTCATAATAAAAAAAATTCTTACAAAAATCTACCTGAAAAACCTCAGTCTTCTTAGTATAAAATGTTCCTAGAAAAAAGTTTTCTATTTAAAAAAAGTATGAGTATCTTAAAACGTATACTAAATGAGAGAGTTTTTCGCATTATAATTAATAATACTATTTTAGTTTAAGAGTTTTTCTTACAGTGCGTCTTCCTAAAATAACGAACAGAACAGTTTTCAAATAAGTTACTTCTAGCATAAGTATACTGTATCTTCACACTATATTTTACAGAAAGTTTTATTTTATTTCTTTTTCCTATTGTTTCCGGTGACCTTTTTGATTGCTATAAAATACACATATCATATTTTTATGCAAAAAAGATTGTATATCTATTTTGTTTTTTTGTCTAACTATCAGGTGATAAGAATTTTTCAATATCATTCTTCATACATATCAATATAAAGTCTACTTTCCATATTATGAAAATAAATACATATCGAAGTATTTTTTGAGCTTTTATGTTACGTGTTGTGACCTATTTTTTAACCATTTTCATGTATTTTAAAAATATTTTCCTTCAATTTTTTTTTATTAGTAATAATAATAGTCGTATATGAGCAGCACAATCAACACAATTCCTATGGATGGACTACAAAAACATGTCACTTAGAATATTGCAAAACAACTAGCAAGAGCGAGTTTAAAAAGACTTTACCTTATGATTAACAAAACTCACTACTATCGGTTTTGAAATACAATTCTACTGACTATTTTTTTAATAACTTTTGAAGGGAATAGTAATAGAAATTAATTTGTGAATATCCATCTATATCAAAGGAGTTTTGAAAATCAGATTTTCAGATATAGCGTACCTACATTGCTCGTCCTTTTTACTAGATCGTATTACAAAATATTGAATAATCATCAATATTCGTTCTTTAACGTGAATCGATGTTTTTTTATTTATCCTTCTCTCATACATATCAAACCATGTCGCAATTTCAAATTTTTTATACGACGAATTGTAGACTACGAGAGAATTCTTTGTTAATCCACCACCTAAAACATACAAATAGTTCATCAGTAATAATCTTAGAAGACCACACCATCTACTCTATGTATTTGTATACATTCACAACATGGATGATGATATATTGATTGACATCATATTCTGCTAGAAAATCTAGTGAGTACTCTTTTAGCCATTGTGCCGTTGAAAAATGTTCAAATATTGTTTGAGATGTACGACTATTTCATCTATAAATACAATGCTCATCTACCACAATTGAATATAAACAAAAAATTGAATAAACAATTTGAACTGATAAATCAATTGATTTAATAGCATGTGTACGCATAGTAATAGTTTCCTTGATTTCAATATAAGTTGAACCTGAACTGGAAGGAATGTATTTAAGAGACTGATCGTTTCCAGTGATGCAATCACTGAAAGGAAGGTGTTGCATAAGATTGATAAGCGATCCACGTTAATTTTTGCCTAAAAACGGTTCTGTGAGAGTAATAGAAAAATAATTTTATTCAATTTTAAGTAATTTAGTGTACTTTTGTTGGGGTAACGATAAATCATCGAAAATGTTTTCATCGAATGACATTTCATCGACGACATTCCATCGAAAGATTATTTATCCCAAGGGCTTTTGAATTTTCCTAGATAACTGAACGATAACCACAAAGTAAATAATAGTACACTGGCAGGAAGTAGCTTGAGTTGAGGGAAGGTTTAGGAAATGTAAGTTAATTGTTCGACATATGACATTGTTTTTTCAGTTACATATTCATAACCATTAAAACGCAGTAAACGTTTGCCTTTAGTTGTTGATAAAAAACTGGCCATACTTATTGTATAATCAAATTTTTATTTTTAGAAGTATTTTAATTAGATTCTTTCGTTCTATAAGTAATCAGATTTTGTTAATAAAAGGAAGAATAAGATAATACAGCTCTCTATTACAAACCAAATTCAAAGTGTTTCGAGATGTTTTTAGAATGTGAATGTTGTAAAAAATTTTCGGAAGAGGGCGGACTAATGATTATATTCAAAGTTTCGGATTCACGCGTCTAAAACAACACATTGTTCATCGAAGCATATAAAATGGAAATGCTACAATATTGTAATAGACATTTATCAGTAGATCGAGCAAATTTGCAACGACGAAGATTATGCCCGCTGTCGTGGCATCTTAAAAGCAGATGGTGATATAATATAAAAAAAAACGACGAAAAGATGAAGACGCTGATTTCGATTTGTGTGTAGCCAAAAGAGCAATTAACTATTGATAAAGTAGAGTTTGAAGATTATCGTCATCATCTAAGACGCGTAGCATATAACTATATTTTGGTAGAAAAAAAAAGACGTCTAAAATTATGTTATGTCAACGCGTTTCTTTAATATTACGTCTTAGTTTACTTTTTTTTCATGTTGATTACTTATAGAACGAAAGAATCTATAGCTTTTTCTTAATTAATTGGCTTGCAAAATGGGGCTTCAAATCAATTTTGAATATGACGATATATGATTGGTTAACAGGTAGTTATGTTAATTTGTATTGTGGATCTCAGTTCGACATATGTAAAGAAAATGAATGAGCGAATAAAAGTGTTATATTCAAGACGAAAACAAAAATTAAGTTAGATTCTAACAAGTAATGCTAAATTCTGTCGATCTACAAAGTCATCCATTTTAATCGTTCGATATCGACCAAAAATCAATAATTTCTAATTTTGAAGTAAGACGCCTTCTGATATCGGCATTTAAACGATTAAGTACGAATGTAACAGATGTACACGTTGAAGTTCGTCGTTTTATTACACAAAGTAAAGATTTTTTATGTGAAAAAAATTCGTTTCACGTTTAATTTCATTTCATGAGATATACAAAGAAAAAAAAAATAGCACAAATAAAATCACAGAATAATTATTACAGAAATAAGTACACTTTGTCCTCGACACATTTTTTCATAAAAAGCTTAGCTATTTCATATACTGAGTAAAAGTTAATGTATCAAGTACTAGATGCCGTTGTTGGCAAGGATGTGGTATTCGAAGATGATTCACCGGCAGATAAGTCTTTTTCTTCAATTTCAACAGGTCGTGGTCCATAGATTAACACATAAGCCGTATGCCAATCACCTTAAAATACACAACTATGATCAATAAGACACATATCGTTGTCTCAAAGGAATGGTTATTTTCAACAGTAAAATTTAACAATTATCTTCGAAGATAGATTAGCTCAAGATTTTTTTTCTACAAAGTGGTTAACGGTTTTCATTAAGAATTTTACCAGTAAAAAATCTCAAAGACTTACCACCGCCAGATAATTTGATAACATCTTCTTCTAAAACAACTGTCACATTTTCGTCATCAAACATAAGCCACTCGGCTAAACGAAATTAAACACAATTACTATTTATTTGTTATCATCTTTTTGTTTTTCTTCGATCCTACTTTGATTTCTTCTAACCCATGCTACGTAATGTCCACTTGAACTTGACCGTCCTTTATGTGTTAGTACAGCAATCAATTGATAAAAACCAGAATTATTTGAACCAGCATCTAAAATACGAGAAATAAAAGTACAAGAAACGAAAGTGGACATTTTTCTACGTTACATACCGTCAGGAAATGATGTTTGTAATTTCGATAAATTCTTTGGTTCAACAACTGTTTCACCGAGTTTCTAAACAAAACGGACGATCATCAGTTTGACGGAATTGAAATTTTGTGCTACGAAAACAGATATGTTTTGAAATAACTGAACCTATGTGTATACAAAAACCTTCAAGGGGTAATGCAATTCACTTAGAATCGATTCTATTAAAAAAGTGCTCTTCGATTAAACTGCAGGAAAGAAATACAAAACAGTAAACTGTTTTGAAGCTCCATTCTGTTTTTAGTTAGTCTTCCACAATGCAGATATGGATAACTCCAACTTCAACTTTATGCCAACTATCGGATCTAAAGGTATTTTTGAGATGGTATATCTTTCGATTTATTTAATCTTACTTTGGCTCTGTCACGTTCTAATTTCGCATCATCGGATAATTTAATTTTTTCTCGAACTGGCATTAAACGTTTTTGTAATTCTGGTGTACACAAATCAAACACATCGAGAATAATCGAATACTGAACATCCTAAAATGGTCAAAATAAAACAAATTTTAATTTTTAATATCTTATTAAATATTCTTACTTTTAAGATTTTAGCATTAACGTTTTGTTTATCTTTATAAAAGAATCGAACGAATTGAATTGTTAAATAAGCTGGTAATCGTGATAATTGAGTCTAAAATGATGGAAAAAAAATTATTTTCTAAAATCTTAACGAATATTTCTTATTTTCTCTTACTATTTTTGTAAATTGTGCATCCCGGTCGAGTGTTGACGAACGTTTTGTAATTTTTTCTTCTAGTTTCTACAAAGATAAGGGCACGTATTGATACGCTCAGATAATAAAAAATAAAATTGATACGTACATTTTTCAATCCAGTGTGCATATATTTAACGTCTATAATAAAATTATACAAAATTGATGGGATTAGAAGTCAACAGAATAAAAATTTACCTTGTGATATAAAACAACTCAATTGGAGAAGACGTTCTTCGGATATGGACGGCGGTTCTTCTGGTGCTTCATCACATTTCAGTCTACACATTAGTTAAGGAGAAAAAAATTTGTATACTCTCTCGTACGATAACAACATTTAAACATATAAGCATTTGTGTAACTTCTCTAACTAATTTGAAGATTGAGAAGATACAGTTATATACTCGAAATCCTATAAAAATCGAAAGTTTTTACATATTTTAGCTCCAGTAAGCTACGCTGACAAGACTTTATTCTCATTTTTCTCTTATGTACATAAAAGAGTACACAGTAGATGAAAAGGATACGTTGCTTTAACAGTAATTCCAAAAAATTGATCGACTAAACTTTTGGTATTACTGGCTGCTATTGAATTAGCAATTTGTTGTTGTTCTTTAATTCCCGGTAGATTTATTTGTAATATTTGCATCATTTGAACCCAAAATTCATTGGCATCCTGTTGCATCAAATGTCCATGATCATCTTTTTCAGCAAAACGTGGAAATTCACGATGAATTGATGCCAGCAGTGTCAATGGCATAATCGAATCTACATTTGAATCTAATTGTTGATAGGTGGTTTTCAATGCATTTATTATCATTTGTGTTCCATCACGATGTTGATTCGAAATATTAAATTGTTTAACAGAATCACGTAATTCGGGTACAGATTTTAAACATTGCAATGTTGCATTCATGTAACATGTATTACCTATAAGAACAAGAACATGTGACACTGATTGATTATACAAAAAGGAAGAAAAGTTCGAAAAGAGCGTTGTCTCTTTTACCTAAATTTTTGAGTCCACCTGGAAATTGCATTGCTCTCGCTATTTGTTGTTCGGTCATATCTTCTAAGAATTTTGGTTTTTCTGCTGGTAATTCAGGGACTGCCTCAGCTGTACCCATGAGTAACAGTGTTAAACCATTTGTTAACTGCACTTTTCCCCATGTATCATCGCCGATTGTCTGTCCTTTAATCATAATCTTCTGGCGTTCGAGGGGCACATTTGTTAATGAAAATAGCTGAGCTTTTAAAACGGCTGGCGGCATTGTTGTATCAACTTCAATATCTTTAAATACTTCTTTATTCCATTTTACACTAACTAAAAAGACACAATTAAAAAAAGAAAACGAAAGAGAACAGCAGGATTTCTTTACCTTTAACAATCGACATGATTTCAATTCAAACAAATTCAATCTTCGTTAGATATCAGAAAATAAAATCTAAAATAAAGACACAATACCGTGAATGAAACTAAAAAATAATAAAGAACTTTACAACAAATTGCACTATCTTCGAGTATGTTCCATCCAAAATTTTCAGCACTTTAAGTGTAGAGTTGTATTTCTCGCTAAATGTGATTAGCATGGCTTATTCTATTGACACAGTGCAAGTGTCATACAGAGAGAGAGATGAGAGGAAGACGCTCGTTACATCCCAACTTATAAGAAGTTTCAATATTCGCATCCTTCCTTTTTACGTCGACTGAATGGAGCTGAAGGAGATTGCTTTTCACCCCGAAAAATTCTTCGTCAAGTCGACTGAGTGAAATGAATCATTGCTTTTCACTCCGAGCGTTGCCTAGCAAAATTCTTCTTTCTTTCCATACCGTTTTCCTCATTCGAGTCAGCTACTAGTCCTAGGTTATCTCTGATGTTACACATTTGGGGAAAAGATGATTCGAACGTAGGAGTCGTAGATGACACACCTGAATAAGTTAATTTTTTTATGTATACTTTAATTCACCTATAATTAGTCCTGAAAAATGAGCCTATCTATTTGAAGAACTTAGAAGAACGCCGTTTTCTGTATGAGATACTTAATCGTCACGTGATACCTGACAGTGTATATGCTCTATACTATCTCTGCTGCTATTATATAGTGCTCGATATAATAAATGCTGTAGTAAAATATATGACACGATAATTAATCAGCTGATATGTCAATGTGATTAATATGCCGTAGAATACACATAGACAGTTATGAATTTCTAGATGTTCTAATATCATTATTTCACCGTTTTACTCAGTCCACTTTCCAATCTTCCAGAAGAGTAGCTGGCTCTCTACACTAGTTTTTGTTCTATTCTGCTTATTCCAATATTTGTATATATATATATATTCATTTAACATGGAATGAGTCATTTTACAAATAAAAAGCCAATTATAATGTGAAAAGGGTCCTCCTTATTCTTCCTTTTAATGAATCCCTTATAAAAGAAATGTGGCGCCATGAATATGTCATAGATCAGCATGGGTTGGGCCGGACCGAACTTGGATCACAAAGTATTTTGGTCGGACTCGGGCCGGGTCGAACTCAAAACTTTTAAGCATGCGTGGATTTGTAATTTACGTGTATACTCAATACCGAGCAAGCGTATTGTCACTGTTAAGCCACGCCTGGGACTAGATAATTTTAAAAAGTGGTCGAGCCGGGTCAGATAAATTTCCCGTTCGGTCGGACCGGGCGTGGTCCGGAAAATTTCATCTCTGGAATATATGTGCTTAAATATTATTAGTCCTTCTGTTTCTAAAATTTTGCATTCAAAATAATCCGTATAAAAAAATAACACTCGCCTTCAAAGCAATCTTTGTGCATTGTGAATACATCTTTTGTGCTCAGTACTGCATAGCAAATGAAATAGTTGGTGCCCTAGTCGAGACTCTCGATAAAACTCCCAAGGGACTCCTGTCATGGGGCCTGCCTGGATCCTGCGGGAGTCAGCTGGGGCTTTCAAGGGACTCCTAAGGATTCCTGAGGACTCGCTCGGAACTCTTGTAGGACTGTCAGGACTTTCAGGTCCTGCGGGAGTCCACCGAAAGTCCTCAAAGTCCCACCTGACTCCCGTAGAATCCCGACAGGACTCCGTGACAGGAGTCCCGCGGTTTTTTGAGTTTTGTCGGGAGTCTCGGACTAGGATATACCAAGGCTTCAGATGTGCTGTAAAACACAGTTATTCACAAATAAATTTTGTTACTCACAAGGAAACCTATCTAAGTGATAGCTTCCGATTTCGTTCATTCATACGTCGATCGATAGAAGATATCGAGCTAGTAAAAAGCCTAAAATGATTTTTCCCGATAACACTTGAAGATCCAGTTGTTGAAAAACTCTAAAACACAACCAAAACCTTTCATAATGAGACATAATTTTAGCCCGCAACTTTCTGATTAAAGTGAGACATCTCCCAGCTCTACACGACCTTTCTTTGCAAAGTTATAGAATTTACAAGAAAAGCCCTAAATGTTCATTGTCAGCTTAAAAGTACAGAAATAAGAAATTAATTTAGGGCTTTTTTTGTAAATTCTACAACTGCGAAGAAAGGTCGTGTAGAGCTGGGAGATGTCTCACTTTAATCAGAAATTTGGGGGCTAAAATTATGTCTTATTAAGAAAGGTTTTAGTTACTTTTTAGAGTATCTGAAAAACTGGTTTTCCAGAAAACTGGATCTTTAAGAGTCACGGAAAAAAATCTTTTTAGGTTTTTTACTAGCTCGATACCCTCTATCGCTCGATGTATGAACGAACGAAATCGGAAGGTATCACTTAGATAGGTTTCCTCGTCAGTAAACTCAGTAAAACTAACCTCCTCTTCGCCCCTAAACTCTGGATCGAAACTTCTTCAAACAAAAACGCAAATATACATCAGTAAAGTTCAGTAGCCTTGTGTACAGTACCAAAGCATACTACAGTAGAACTATAGCTACGGTAGTGGATGCTCTAAGGAGCAAAGAGTGCTAAATCCAGTGTTTTATCTAGGTTTTGTTTTTCGAGTAGGCAGTTGAAATTTTTGGAGTAGCTGTTGGCTAAAAACATTTTGCTAAAACAAAATCATCTGTTTACTTTTTGGGTGGGCGATTCGAAATTTCGGGTGGGGCATCCGTTCCACCCACTAGATAAATCACTGATTAAATTAAATAATTCTAGTTGGTGTCGAAGCTGAGCTCTGTTTAAAGTTCCTAGAACTCTCGTCCTGCGTTCTCTATTTAGAAGGTTTATGGTTCTTAAATTTTAAATCGCAGACGAATTAAAGCTAATATTAATGAAATAGATTAACCGCGTTTCTTCCCTGAAACTAAGAACTAGCGTCTAAATTGACTGTTGAGTTTAATACAACTCATCAAGGTTCCGAGTAAAATCTTCCAAAACATTCAGAAAGGAAAATTAGAATATAACGAATGATATAAAGAATTATATTATCATTTTATTGAAGACGGCTTATTGTTGGTGGTTACGTGCGAAACTTAGTGATTTTTTATTGAATTTTATGATCTATCGTTAATTATTGAATGACATCATAATAGTTCACTAATTTTTCTTGTTTTTATTTTAAATTAGTTAAAGGACGGGGTGCAATAAGAACGAGGATCGGCCCCATTTCAGATCTTCTCGAAAGGTATCTAGAATGAATGAGCATACAATTTTATGGGGTTCTATACCCTTGGTTCCCCTTCGGACCTCATATGTGTCAGAAAATCAATCAGCTTTCAACAATAGCTCCGCGAGCCCATTCCGAGGCGTTTTTCGTAATTTTCTCA